TATATATATTTTCACCTTTGTATTCTTGTATGTATTTATACCCCAAATCAATGTCATTAAGGTTTGTCTTGATGCCCCGTCCCTTCTTTATGCACATCCATATACATAGCCAGACACAAAGGTGTACAATCCGGTCTGATAAAGTTATTCTATCCTAATATGGTATAGCCTAATTCAACCATAAGATATATATGTAGCTGTTTATAAAATTCTAAATTCAAAATATAAAAGGCTAATATTGATGTCCAACCAATACAATTTATGTTATAATTATGTTTTGTATATTATAGGTTTTGTTTTCTACTTAGATATAAGAAAGTCTATTTAGATATAAGAAAGTGATATGTAAAAACAAGGGCAAATGACACTGTAGCACAACAAAGTGTTTTCTTTGGTCCGACTTCATCACTGAAGTATTTCTTTACGCAATAGGCTAATGAACTCTTAATTTGTGTATCAATTTCGTCATTTTCATTAAAAAATCAGTTTGTCCCGTTAAGTTTAATGACATGGCAAGCCATGTAGGATCCCATTGCCATGTCATCATCTTCAACCTGCAACACATTGCATTTTCTCGTCTTTCTCGTCTTCAACCTTCGACCACCACCACCAACCTCCACCAACTACCATCAGCACCAACCTTCCTACCCATCTCAAGAACACAAAGATAAGGTTCGAGTTCTCTTCACCCTCTAATTTTTGATAATGCAAACTCAAGAACACACGTCTACATTAGGTCCGACTTCTCACTTATCTCTCTCTATGTGTTTCTGATTTCTAGGTTTATGAACTTCATCTATTTTTTGGGTTTAGAAATCTCGGTTCTCTCTCTTTTGCAAGTTCAAACTTGAGTGATAAAGTAGATAGCTCATTTGTGAATATGTCGGTGTACTGAGAACTCGAGAGGGGACATTAAGAACCCAAACAAACAGGAGCGGAACACGGGTACTGTAATTAGGAGGGCCGGAATCAAAACCTTAAAAATACAATAATATATATATATATATATATATATATATATATATATATATATATATATATTAAAAGTTATAAAACAAAAAAAAGTCTAAATCTAGAAAATTAATATAAAAATATTCTTAATAGTTCATATATTCTTAATAGTTCGTCAAAACTCAAAACATAACACATCCATATTTTACTCACTTTTGAGGTTGCTTTTTCCGATCCATTTGGTTCACAAGGTATTTTGTGTACCAATGGTTTTTCTGTTGTGTCAATAAAATTGGTTTGAATAAAAAAAAACATTGTTCAACATATACTGCATGCTGCATTTAACAACTAGCTAATATTAAGAAAAACTCAACACTGACCTAAAATTTTAGTCATTTCCTTATCCAACATGTTTTAACTTATAAACATAATTTATTTTGTTTTATGATGGATTCGAAATATAGTTCAAAGTTCAAACAATACAACAACATAATTAATAATATTAAATGAAAAAATTGTCAAAAATAGAATACGATAAAAAAAAACATATTTTACATTTGTTCAAGAATATATCTCAAAGTATATTTCAAATTGAAGATGCATTTGTTCATTAAAGGTTATATCTTCAAGAGAGCTGGTCCAGTATCTTAAAATAACAAAGAAATAAATATATTTTAATATGTATAATTTTCAATGTTATTATGTCACACCCAGGCTGGCGGCAGAAACATCGGGCGGTGTGGCGTTCGTTGAACATCACAGTCACAAAACATATAAAATCTTCATTACTAAACGGAAGTTACATTTGATCATTACATGATATATGCTATCTATTTCCCTGCGACTTATTCTTCCTTGTAGCGATCTTCTCCCCCTTCGGTTCCTTAGGAATACATGCGATTTTGAAAATGGTCAACATAATGTTGGCGACTTCACATGTTTTATTTTATAAATATTAAGAATATTCTTTTTAAATAATTTTTAGTATATGATATTTGTTTAAGAATATGAACATTTTCATAACTTCTCTGGTCCACTAAGTTTCTAATGAGTATCTTCTTTACCGTCTCTGACTCAATCGTATTCTAGCATTATCTATCTGTCATTATTCTTATATTATACATTGGCTTTCCTTAAGAAGGATTTATGTTATTATTCTAGGATGTATTCTCCTTATACCAAAAATAGTTTTTATATGTATTTTGATAAGGTAATAGGATAGTATTTATTATTGTTCTTAGATATACTTGTTACTCTTAGTATATTAGTATTATAACTTCTCTTTTCAGATGTGCCACCCCTTTGGTACATCTACAATATATTACTTTTCTTAGACGATTTTCACCCCTTTCGTATATTGATGTATACTATTACTACTTTAAGGTGTTCCTGTTTAGGTAGTTTAATTAATTAAGGTTGACTGAACAATGCTACAATGAGTTCCTATAATCGAGCGTTCGACTTGAATTTTGCCCCACACGACGCTTTATCAGACTTCGTAAAATAGTTTAGAAAGTTATGCCTGTTGTGATTCGACCATCAAGGTTGTAGCTAGCAACCACAGGTGGGGGTGTCAACCCCATATATATCTCTACATATCTTTCCCGCTTACTTAAAATTTAACAATTATAGGCCGGGGTTTGCTGAAAACTAATCGGCTAAAGGATGAATAGTATCGTTCTCATTGGGCAACATTTTGTTTAGCCTTACCATATACTTCTTGTAACGTCCCAAAAATAGAAGTAAAAGTTTTATTTTTAAACCATTAAGTCTTACAACCATATATTCCAAAAACAACAAAGTAAAAATATATTTTTCAAACATCATAGTAAATCAAAAGTAATCAGTGCAGAAAAAGTCATCAGGGGATGAAGTGCAGTCAAGTCGGGCTCTTCCATTTGGAACTGGAAGTACCTGAAAATGTTTGTTCCACAAAATCATAAGCACAAAGCTTAGTGAGTTCCCCAAAATACCGTATAGTATACATATCAACTGTTGGATTAGGTGTCTAAGCTCATACCTATAATTGGTATATACTTGAATTAATAGTAACACAATCCTTTTGGGTTGTCCTCAAAACTAGCAACTGGACAAGATGATTTTGGGAGAGAGAGGTTAAATTTATTATTTGATTAATAAATTGAAATAAATGATTTATTAATATATTATGAAAATAATATATTAATTAGAAATCATATTATTTAATTAATAATTAATCAGAAATTAATTGGAATTAGCTTTGGGATTAATTGAATTAATTAAAAGTGCAAGGGTTGTTTGGCAATTTATTGATAGTTGAGGAAAGAGGCTCTAGAACCTCCCTAGAAGGGGTTGGATACCATAGGTGCTTCATCCCAGATAATCAATAACCTTTTTCTTACTAATCTGCCGAGTTCACTGTCAGACGGTATCTTACAAACAGAATCCTCCGTAAGATTCAACAAAATTATAAACCGAGAGTGTGCTGTCCTACCTCCAGGCAATAATAATGATGCAATACCACTTGAAGCAACATTTAAAACTATATCACCATTATATCTAATTGCTGCATATATTGTCTTCCAAAGAAAGGTTTTGCCCGTTCCACCATATCCATACACAAAAAACACACCTCCTTTCTTATCCTTGACTGTAGTCATGATATCAAGAAAAATATTGCGTTGCTCGTTTGTTAATGCATGAAACATACGATCAAACTCTTTCTTTAAAATCGGTATGTCATAGTCTAGCTCCTCGGTGATAAGGCGATTTGTTGAAGAAGAAACGGTATCAACATCATGTTTTTAAGTTGATCCTCAGTGGTAAGGCATTTTTTTTATAATTTTTAAGACTGGTGTTGTTACGAAGTAAAATCTGTTCGATCTCGAACAAAGTCAAGTTTTTAAGTTGATCCTCATTGAGCGATAAACCTGTAAAATGAACAATATGTCAAAAACAATATAATATTAAATAGTTTAATGGTAATTAAAAAAATTGTACCATGCATATTGAAAATATATAATATCCGTTTTTACAAATAATGATAGAAAATTATAATACCTGGAGACTTTAATCTACGTTGTTGGTTGTAAAGAATACCATCCGACAAGTGTTGCCATGTATTTTCCCAAACAAACTCTAGTCTACCCAAACTGTTAGACATTAACATCGTAGAAAATAAGAAACGCAAATAAAAACCAGTTCTTGAATGACTTGCTTCCTTATCTGCATCGACATATTCTTTGTCGTCATCTAAGAGTCCCAAAGCATAACATGCATCTCGAAAAGTAGGAAATTCTTCACCATTTACCGTACGAATTTCTTCAAATGATTTTGGACCTTTCACTTTATTTAAAAGAATCCGTAAGAAGTAAACTTCGCCAAGTTTAGGTGAAACCGAGTGAATCCTTCCTATTGAACGTCCAATTTTCCATGGCTTCCACAACCTATCATTAGGTTTCCAAACAAACTTTGTAGGAAATTCAACATATGTAAGTTTTCGTGCATCTTTATTAATTTTATTACATTCCATCCAAGATGTGAACATAGAAGCAGCAACTGAAGGTTGTTCAAGAACATCGGCAATATCATCGTCTGCAGCATATATGACTTGTTGTTGATCAGGAAGATGAAAAGGTAGTCGCATCACAGAAGGATATCGGTAATGAACATCATAATTAAATATTCGCTATGACGCTTCACATGCAGATATATATATATATATATATATATATATATATATATATATATATACAATCATAATAATCTTTTATTTCATCTACAACCTTTTCGTGATTAGAAGCAGTGTTAACAACAATTGTAGCTCTATCTGGACCTTTGTTTATATATTTAAACAGATACTTTATGGAAGATCCCTGATTGCACCATTCAACATTAATGTGTGCCTGATATCTTTTCAACATATATTTGTTATATGGAACAACATTTATGTTGTCTAACTTGACACCTGATTTTTCGCACAAATATCCATTGTTTCTTCTCATATATAAGGGATAACCGTTGACATCAACTGAAGAATGATTACAGAATTGCTTTGGAAAATTTTTCGAACATTGTTTGTCAACCATGAATGGACAATTCATATTTTCAACTCCACAAGGACCATGTATCATGAATTCACTTACAAGTGAATACAATTCTGGATCTTCATTGATATTTGGAATCTCAGCGGAAATAATCGGATCAATATATTCAACAGTAGGCCGCTTGGAGTCAGCATGCACAAATAGACAAATATGACTATGTGGCAACCCTCTTTTTTGAAATTCAATTGTATAGACCACTACAAATTAATTTTATAAATAAGATATGATTTGTATTGGATGAAATATATTTGCAAATAATAAAAAATGTTAATAAATGAAAAAATCATTATAAAAAAAAGATTTGTATTAAACAACAACTTTTAATACCTGCTTGAACGATGCCGAAAATTTTGTTTTCCCGTATGTCTTTAATAAAAGCATCAAGCTTTATTTTGAATAACCTACATAAGATATCAGGTCTATCTTCTGAATGTAGTGAAGTGTTATGAAGAAACCTTTTAACTTCAGGTCATTTTGGATTACATGTAAAGGTTATGAAGAAATCAGGATATCCAAACCAGTTACATAAGGACATGGCGTCAAGGCAGTTTTGCATCATATAACGTGCACCGCCAGTGAATGAAGAAGGTAAGATAACATGTTGTACGACGTTGGATATATCTTTATTCCCAAGATCTTGTTGATTACGTAAATTCCCATAAGACTCACATCTAAGAATTTGTTGTTTGCTCCTTATTAAATGTAATCTCTCGCTTTCAATCATAGTATAAGCATCTACCAAAATCTGTTGGAACAACCTTTTTGAATTAAGAATTAATGAAAAATATTGATCCCTGTCCTGTATTCTATAAGAAAAAAATTCTCTCATTGTACAGTTGGGCCGCTTGCTGTTGCTTGAAGGTGTAATACCTCGATGTGGTATGTCAACCCTATAACCATCATCACCATATGGAAACAGTAGTGGATACTGAAGAGGAAGGTATGATGGATGTAATTCACTAATATGCCGTAGAGAACCAGATGAAGTTTGAACAACAATATCTCTATTTTCAATTGAATCACCAATATCTCCAACAATTAAAGCGGCAACCTCAGAAGCAGATGGTAGGTTGTATGTCCTTCCATCTTGGTCCCTTCTTCCAACAATTCTCAATTTGATATCAATATGAGGGTTTTCATGAAAACAATCTCTAACCATTCTATAAGACTGAACCAAGACATTATTTGAATCTAACATCAACTTCAAATCTTGTATGATATCATTATCAAGAACAGAAGAATTTGATGTAGATCGTTGATTTTCTCCACTGCAAGTAACATGAATGTAACATCCCAATTTTCAGGGCCAAAATTTTCATTTTTAAATTAAGTACTTCATAAAATAGTGTACCAAAACATTGTCGAGGTTACATCAAATTATAAAAACCATAACGTCATGTCTCAAAATCACAATGTCAAAAGTAATGAAAATCAGAGTACAATCCCAGAAACTCCATGCGAAAATCATGTGTGTGTGTGATGCACTGCTACACCGCCGGCTCCTTCCCCATGGACGAAGAGGTACCTGAAACCAAAACTGAAACTGTAAGCACAAAGCTTAGTGAGTTCCCCTATCATACCACATACCATATAATATCATCGGTATCTTTCAACCGGTAACTGCCATCGGTATCTTTCAACCGGTATCTGCCATCGGTATCGTCCAACCGGTAACCTCCATCAGTATCTTTCAACCGGTATCTACCATCGGTATCTTTCAACCGGTAACCGGGGACTATTTCACCCCTATCACTATCATGCAATAACAAGATATAATCATACAGTCAGGCATATATGGGTACTGACCTACCCTTCGATCCTAACGACCGATGTCAGGGAAAAACTATTCCCTGCCACTACCACTAACACACATAGCATATCATGCAGGCATATCTCATGACCGTGTCACATGAACATACCAAGATAATTATCATAAAGACAATTATCTACTAAATACCCCTGTTGGTAGGCCGGCATTGTGGCCTTAGACCCACCTCTACTGGAAGGTAACTCACCTCGATGTCGTGTAGTGTCTGAAATGTCCTCGGCGTGAAGGTCGACTCCCTTCGACTCCCCGATCCCTACACGGAAATCCTTCTAAGTTATCAATATGAACATGCAACCCAACCCAGGGTCGAATCAATTCAGTCAAAGTCAACACCCAGTTGACCTGACTCGCCGAGTTGGTCTACCAACTCGTCGAGTCCATACTCCACTAACCCGATCCAACCTCGACTCTACTCGTCGAGTCTAGCAAGAACTCGACGGGTTCTCCTTCATTCAACCCATCGGGACCATCTTCATCCGACTCACCGAGTTCATCCTTAAACTCGTCGAGTTCATCTCCCTCATAAGAATGTGTCCAGTCTATGACTCGCCGAGTTGTATGGACAACTCTTCGAGTCCATCTTCAAAGATTGGGAGATTGCCTTGGACTCGCCGAGCCTGCTCTAAGCACTCGTCGAGTCCCATGACTCCCAGGCCCCTAATGGGTCTAAACAACTGAGGGGCCTTCCACCCTCGCATCTGGTCCAATCAAAAGAAAGGATTTGGCGACAAAGCACCCCGACTCGCCGAGTCCCAAGAACGACTCGCCGAGTCCATCCTTGTCCATTACTATACAGTCGATTTAAATGGGTCTTAACACATCAAAACCATAGATCTGGCCTCCTAATGTCCATTTTACACGTAAAGTTCCAAACTTGGTGCACATGCATGGGGTCTTTGGCTCAAAAAGCCATAAAATATGATCTTCAAGATGTATGGGGCTCTCATGGCCATAAAGTTGGCACCTTTATTCCATGAGACCCCTCCTAAGACCCAGATCTGAAGTCAAACTCCATTCATCCCTTCAAAATCCGAAGATGGCTTAGAAAACTCCCAAAATCCCAACCCCAAAGATGAATAAGCACATAGAAGACCAAGACAAAAGGTTTTTACCTTGAATAAGCTGGAAATGGAACAAAATCCCTGGATCTCCAAGCCCACACTCGAACTCTCAAGCTTCTTTCTCCTTCTCAAGCTTCACAATCCACCAAATGCACCAAAATGGCCTTAGAACACACAAAAACGGCTAGGGTTTCGATATACAACTTTCTGGGAGTGATAAGGACGATGGAGGCTGAGATGAGATGTTTAAATAGGGTGCAAACCCTCGAATTTAGGGTTTCACTCAAACAACACCTACTCACCGAGTCAGTCTCCCGACTCGTCGAGTAGGTCACTTAAACTTCCCGCGGATCCCGACTCTACTCGACGAGTTGGGCCACCAACTCGTCGAGTCCCAGAGAAAATACATACAATTCTTGAATAAAATACATAACAGGAATCAGGTGTTACAATGAACATATAAACATAAGATAAATAAAGAAAGTAATGTTGATGAATAAGATATCTATTAATGTGATAATTGTGAAAAGTGTACCCAAAACATGTTCGTCTATTTGCGATCTCATTATCAGTATCGTATATGTACAATTGAGTGAATTTTGGTTTAAATTCATGTTCCGGTAAAAGGCTTCCGATACTATGATAATTTTGACCGCTAAGTCGAAAAATGCATGGAGCATTTTCTCTATTGATTGAGGAATCAATCTTGCCACCCATTGACGTAAAAAAAAACATAGAATTGTAAGAACGGATGTTCTTCATGATCTGTTTGCTTTTAGAATCTCCAGATCTAAAAAGATTTTCATAACTTGGAGGTGCATTCTTTAACTCTGGTTGTTCAACTTTGTCATAAGCACAACATAGAGAATAATTTTCATTCTCCTTTTTTTTACATCTGACAGATTCATCTTTCCATAATTTTGCAAAACATGTTTGGCATACAACAATCTGATCACCATGATCCAAATAATCTGTCAATTAAGGTTGACAAAAAAAAGTTAATCATGTAAGTTTATATAATTGAAAATGATTGAATGAACTAATGTAAATATTATATTTGTAAATAAATTACCTTTTGATATACCTTCGTATATATTTTGATTATTTTGGCAATCGTTGTTGTCTTGATCGGATCTCAGACCAACTATTGGAATAGGAGATACATTTGCCCTTTTTTCTTACTTTTATGATTTGGGTTAGTTAACATGACTGGAGATGTTCTTGATGTTATTGTAGATGATTTGTTTGATGTGTCACCATTCGAAAATATAGAGTATTGTCTAATATTTGGTAACGGTGATTGAAAACTGTTATTGGAAATATCCATCGTTGGGGAAAAAAAAGATTGAAAATATGCATTGTTAAATATGATAGAATAATAATATAATAATATATATTATAAAATCAAATGGTAAAATAAATGAGTTACCATTGGAAATGTTAGATAACGGAGTTCTAACATTTAAATGTGAAGGAGGAGTTTGTAACATTGATTGTTTTGACATATTTGCACTTGATTTAGATGCGAATATGTTTTTATTTTGATGTACAACTCCTTTGAATTTGTCTGAAAAAAATAAATGTTTATGAGAAATGCATAAATATTTAATAATTTTTTTAATTTACTTTAAATATGAATATTGATAAAGAG